ACAAAGAAAATTAAGTACATATTAACGCATATCTGCTAACTACAGCTAGAATAGCATTTGCCCAATGCTTGAAACAAAATAATACCTCCTCGGACGAATTAGTGATAAAAAAAAACTTGTGCAGAGATGGACAAATTAACACTGAAATTAAAAGATAAAGAAGAGTCGGAATATTATGAAATTTGGAACAATTGGTATAAATGGCTGCAAAACAAGAATAAAATTAATTAAGCCAAAAAACAATATCTATATAGAACTGTGTATAAAGATGTGTAAATATAGAAGCGAAATATTATATACATGTACAGGTATGATTACATAGCAATGTTGATGTAATGACTGTAAGGTGTTGTAGAAGGGAAAAAATAATTAGAAATATCTGCCAGCAAGAAAAAATAAAGAAAAAAAATAAATGACAGGATTAAGATTAAATGTTTTTAGATATCTAATTATAAACAAAATTCAATTTTTGTTATACTTTTGATTTCCTCTTAGGACCAAATGTGTGAGATTGTCATGGTAATCCAGTTATTAATAGTTGTTGGTGTTCCCTAATTTAAAGGTGGAAAATAATATAAAGCAGAATATAAATCTCACAAAATGGCCGAGAAAATGTTACTAGTTGCTGATTTTTTTAAAGAACTGTGGGCAACATGTCCAGGTCTAGGAATATGCACAATTGGTACACAAGATTGCAAAAATTATCTAAATTAAAGGAGGGAACCACTACAAAACACATCCCCCTACTCCAGACCTGAGCTTACCAGAGGTTATCAATAAGGAGTAACTAATATTTATATCTCAACTCTGACTAAAAAGAGTCCAGATAGTCATTTTCCCTGTGGCCATTGGAACTAAAGATCAACTGCCTGCTCAACCACCTTCCCTAAAGAGGGAAAGTTAGAGAACTGGACAAAAATTTGTCCAGCTGTGTTTGGCCCATCGATAGCTTTTTGAAGGAAAATGATTGCCTCTTGTGGAATCAGTGGCATTACTCCTTCCTTCAAAGAAGCTGCATGAATCTCACCATTTGTGACCTTATGGAAAACCTCAAACAGTCAGGAGGGACACATGTCTAGAATATAGCCAAGCTCAGAAGCCTAAGAATCCTATCCACTTTAGTATAAGGTGACCAGACATCCCGCTTTTGACGGGACAGTCAAGATTTTGCACAATTTGTCCCACGTCCCGCAGCGTTTTTAAAAAGTCCTGATTTTTTTAAAAAAAAAATCCCCCCCCCCCACCGGTCAAAGGTGTCCCTCTTTACCAATGTTAAAATCTGGTCACCTTACTTTAGTAGGACTAATAGGATTAAAAACTCCCTGGATAACTAAACAGAATTTCTCATCATAGAATCTGGAGTCCAATTTTGAGCGAATCCAAACAAGGTTATCCACCAGAAACACAGAATAATCTTTAGAGAAATTGACAAATGTTCTCTCAGCTGCTCCTTATCCAGGAGAAACGGGGCCTCTAGTCAGCTCTCTGAGGATGCAATAAGAGCAGAAAAATAGTTATAATTTGCTGCTCTTATCACCACAAAGTAAACCTGTATTTGGATGGATTCACTCTGTTTTGATGCTTTCATCCCCCAGAATTCCCCTGAAAACTCGAGAATTTTCTGAATTCTACATACACAAAGAAAAGCTAAGATCTAAGGCCATGCACCTTCATTCCAAGCAGCAACTCAGACATCCACTGGATCATTTTGCCAAGAGAACTGAAACAAAATGTAAAAACAATGGCCTCCATTTACCTGCAAAACATTGTTAATCAGTTCTAAAGAGAGATTGCTGTTTATTTCATGTTACTTTCTCAATTCTGGGCCTTAATTCTAATAAAATAAAATAAAATATAATAAAAGCAGGGAACAACCTACCATGTTCCCCGCTGATGTCAGATATATATCTGNCCACTCCCATCCGGTCACATGGGTGGCAAGCCACTCCCACAAAGGAGGCCACACCCACAGAGTAGGTTCTAACAATTTTTGAAACCCACCACTGCACTAAATACCTAGATTTGACAGTATGTTTGAGATCACTGTGCATATAATGCACTTTTAGGCATCCCTTTTGAATTGTGCATTCTCTTACCTGTAAATCTATAAATAAAGGATGACATTTTAGCTGCAAGACTGCAAGCAATTTGTTTCTCATGTTCACACCAGCTTTTCTAGTAGAATTGAAAGTCAGGCTAGACCTGATAGATGTATAAGCATAACTGCAGTGAAAGATAAGTGGAGAAGGAGATCAACATAATTTAGGCATCATTATAGTTAATTAGAATTGCTTTTCCTATTACAAGAATGTACTTGGCTTTTACAAAATCCAAAACATGGATATTTGAAATAATGGCCATGTAGAGAAACATTAGACCCTTCAAAATTAGAAGGTAATAATATCTTAAGCATTTTGATAGCAAGCTATAACTTTAAGAGAGCTGGCTGATTATTTGTAATTTTATACAAATGGTTCTGGACTTCAGGGATTCACTTGGGAGTTTCTTTGAATTTAGGACTGTTGGCGGGTTATCTGCCTCGTTCTCTTATCGCACAAGTTCCTGGATATGGTTCCTAGTCAGTCTTCAAACTGTTACAGCTCAAACAACTTGCCTATCAGTGTTGTCATCTTGATGGTGCAATTCAGATTGCAAAATATAAAATCTTGCAACCTGCTGAATGGTCAACTCTATTAATATGAATGATTCCTTCACAGAAATCTGAGATATCCCATTATTAGTTCTCCACAAATTAGTCTATTTATCAAAAAATGCACTCTTACTGATTATGTGATAAGGACATTTTTTATTCCAGCCAGATTTAATCCGAAATCACAGCAAGGATTTAAGTTTCATGTCAGTCAGAATGGATCAATTTCAGGTTATAGAATGTTTGAAAGCTTACTTTTTGTTTCTAATAATGTATATTACTTAGGCTATCAAGTTATTTTAGTTGATTCATCATCCATTTCTTAATTTATATAGATTAAGTATTAGGAAACATATTTTGGGAGGATAATGTGGTTCTGAAGGATTTTAAATGTAACAAAAGTCATTTGTGCTATGCACTATTGAGTATTTTCACTATTGTATATTTTCTATTCTAATTAACGTCACAACCAGGCTTTGAGAATAAGCAAATATGCCCTTTAACTATGTGCCATTATTTAATTTCGTTTTGCCCACTAAATTTTGCCTTATTGATTCATCCATTAAATCTTTGATTTAAAGATACTCACCGAGTAAAGCATCCGGTCTTAATATTAATGTAATGACTATTCATGAATAGTACATACCTGGAGTAATCACAGTAAATTTCAAGAGTCTGTGTATTAATTAACAATCCACACCATGGGATAACACAACGAGTTGGCAATTGTTTGAACTCCAAGCAACCTGGAACATTTTCGTCCACCGGAAAATTCACTACAGTCTTAGATGGATTTATAACAAAGCCATACTCTGGAATGCCTTTGGCTAGAGTCCTACGTGAATGAAAATACACATTCCGAATTGCTACTTGAAAATATATGCATCATGTACTCCACTACAATAATTAACTGCACATATACATATGATAAATATACATATGATAAATCCCTCCAAATAAGTTGTCAACTGTATAGTCTCTCAAAAAATGGCATCCTCCTGTTGTTCAGTTCAGTTCAGTTTATTATATTTATATGCCGCCCTTTTCCCCCAAAGGGGACTCAGGACGGCTCACAACTTGAACCGAGGGAGGGGGATACAGACAAAAAATTTAAAAAACAGCAAGCATAACAATATATAATTTAAAACTCACAACAGTCATACCATTCGAGACGGGGGCAAAGGAAAGTCTGGTTGGAGCATCTCTGAAGATCATGCATAGGGTTGTAAGTTTGTAAATTGTAAGTTTAATTTAATTTGTAGGCCGCCCAATCCCGAAGGACTTGTGGTTGTAAAATGGTCCAAATAGGGATTTGGGGTTGGATCTGTCCCAAATCACACGCAATGTTGAATATGTATTCCTGTGCT